AAATCTGCACCTCTTCTGTGGCAAATTTTAATTTCATAATGATTCTTACTCCGTGAAGTCAAGCAGCAGAAGTTAAGTGACAATATGCAAATACTACTGGCCGATTTCGGGGTGAACTAAATATACAAGACTAGTTTTACACGTCACTGTTTATAACACACGTCATGGGGCATAAATTAAGAGTATACCCACTTCTCCAGGCACCACTACACCACTGGATAGGCCCGTGTAAAGACACATACAACTACAAATGAGTGCAGAAACATCAGATCCTTGTTTGCTTTTAGATCGTTACTCCAACCACTCAACACAACGTGTTGTCTTTAAATCCTCTGTGCGCCATCATTAACCTGCGAGCATCTACAGCTCCTCACTTTCTACCCTTCGCTCTGGTTGAGAGGCAGAGATTATGACGGGGCCATTGTCGCTCATGGAAAATGCTGACTTTATATCCAGACCCTGGCCGGTGAGAGCAGCGTATCGACTCCCGCTGAGCTGCGTTTTCTTCATCGGTGCATGAAAGTGCTGATACCACTGAGCTGCAGAAAACAACACGTTTGGACATAACTGTGCAATTAAGAAAATCTTTCGCACTTGGGTTGCATGCTGTGAGCAACTTATTTATTTATTTGTAGTCACATAGTTGACACAACTACACCTTTCAACATCTTTCTGGGTTAAATGTAATACAGTTGTACAATATAATATACAGTAAATGTATATTTTAGGTGCTTTATGGTTACCATTACTTTTAAAATTTCTCATCTTTATTAATCAACTTTTTGCAGTTCACTTCACTAGTACCTACAGTATGACAAATGAACTAAGATACAAATGATAAGATGAATTTAATTAATTAGATACCTACATTAATAATTAGATTAATTAATATTAGAAAAATTCCTTAAAATAATTTGAAATATTACATTTAAAATAGTTTTAGATAGTGTAATATAGTAGTTTAATTTAATTTGTAATTATTAGAAAAATGTCTTAAAATAATTAGAAATATTACATTTAAAATAGTTTTAGATCGAGTGTAATATAGTAGTTTAATTTAATTTTTAATTATTAGAATAATTAGAAATATTACATTTAAAATAGTTTTAGATAGAGTGTAATATAGTAGTTTAATTTAATTTGTAATCCTATTTTAAGCTATATATATCATTATTGTGATGGGGGGCCCTGCAGTAAGTCATTGCCCCGGGGCCCAGTGCTGTCTTAATGCGGCCCTGCTCACAATACTGACTTTATAACTCGTAACTGTGATTTAATAAATCAACAAGTCGAAATGATGACATAAAAAGTACAAAATCTGAGACAAGAAGTCAAAATTATGGCATAAAGTCATAATTTTTAGATATTTGTTAATATTTTTGACTTTTGTCAATTTTGACTTGATTTACTTTTTGTCATAATTATAATTTATCTTATAGTCGCAATGTTTTATCTGACAAGATTAAAAAAATTGTATAAGTATGAGATATGCCGAAATTATGAAAAGTCATAATTATTAGATAAAAAGTTAGAATTATGAGACGTCATAATTTTGACAAAAAAAAATCAATTATGGCATAAAATTATAAATATAATAGTCATAATTGTGAGAAAAATCTAAACTAGCATACATCGAAATTATGACATACTAAGTCATAATTATGACATAAAAGGTTGAAATTGATGTACAAGGCTGAATTTATGATAGTCAAAAATGAGTAAGTATGGAATTATAAAATTATTGAGTTACTTAAAATTCAATATTATGAGATAAAGTCATCATAAGATATGCTAAGTCATAAAGAATTTTTATTGTCATAATTATGACTTTTCATCTCATAATGACTTAGTATGCCATAATTTCAATTTGTTTTGAATTTCTATCTCATAATTTTGATTTGTGTCATTCCAAGTCATAATTGTGATTTACCAATACACGTTTTTTTTCTTGTGTGGCAGAAATGGGCTTTCTAGTATTTTAATGTTAAAAGGACATTCAGAAACGATCCGGCTCTTACCCACTACTCTGAGCTCGAGGCCGAATGAACTCTGTCCCGCTTTATTTGAGGCGATGCAGGTGTACGTCCCGTCATCGGCTTGAGTCAGAGGGTCAATAACCAGAGAATGGATCCCGTTTTCTCTCACGAGCATTCGGTGAGTGAGGTCTGGATATATGGGCTTCCCGTTGAGAAGCCACATGATTTCAGGATGAGGTAACCCACTCACCTAAACAGCAGAGGAGGGTTCAGAGCATGAAGACAAAACATGCAGCTTCAAGTTTTCTGCAATGTTACGTGTCATTGTATTGGATAACAGACAGCTTTCTCAAAAAGTATTTGGACTTTTCAAGCATTTTGGAATTTTGGTTTTAATAGTTTTAAACGATACAACGGAATACAAAGCCACTTAAGTGACTTTCATGACCAGGTTTCTTTAAGTACATTTAAAAAGTGCACTTTGTAAATATGTCAAATTAGAATTTTTTATTTAAAGTATGTTGTAAATCCGTGTTATTACCTAAACTAAAACTGAAACTAATATTAAAACCATTAAATAAATAAATAAATTGTTGCTTGAAATGAAATGGATGAAAACTGAAATAAAATATAAAATGTTATTTTATTTCATCTAGTTGCCAAGGCAACATCTCTCATTTAAATTTACAGTACACTGTAAAAAATGACCGTGAATTTAACGGTAAAAGACTGTCAAAAAAATGCTACAGTAAAAACCTGTTAAATGGTTAATGGTATATAGTAGGGGAATTTACCCTACTATATACCCCTACTATATACGGTGAAAAACTGTATTGGACATTACATATATTGGACATTAATTTTACGGTAGTATACCGTTTTTGGAAGTGAAAAAGACCGTATAATTTACAGTGAATAACCGTAAATTGACATTCCCAGAATTCCCTGCGTTACATTTCAAATTTGATGTTTTTTTGTTGAAATAACAATGTTTCTTCTTAGTTTTTTCTTATCGGTTTTGTATATTAGGGTTGTGTGTTACACCTAATGTTGTTAAATTAATGTTTATTGCATTATTTCAGTTTCATGTGTGTTACCGTGATGGTGTTTGGTGTTTGTGTGAATGACACTTTGCACCTTCTATATATGTTAATATTTAAAAACTCACACACTAGTCAACATTTGAAGTGGATCAAAACTTTCATCAGAGTTGTCCTAAAACCTAAAACCAAAATGCGTTCTTGTTTTAGGACAAGTCCTGCTCTCTACCTTCTTAAGTTAAAATAATTGCATTTAACACGATTAATCGCGATTAATCGTTTGACAGCACTAGTATATATATATCCTTATATGTCCAAATCTGTAATTTTTCACAAAAAATATTAACATCTTATTGCAACATTTTACAAAAATCAAGATTGAATATATTTGGTTAAAATCCTTGCAGTAATGATGCTGAAAATTCAGCTTTGATCACAGGAATACATTTATTGTATTTTTTGATCAAATAAATGCAGCCTTGGAGAGCAGAAAAGACTTCTTTCAAAAACATATAAAAAAAAATCTTACCAATCCCAAACTTTGAACCATAAAGAGAACACAATAAAAGTGTTATTTTCTGTGCATGCATTAAAAGAACATCACATGCTGTCAAAAACTCACTTTAGGAATTGGAATTCCAACAACTTTACAGGTAAATGTGACAGGAATCCCTTCCACAGCCCTGAAGTGCTTCAGTTTCTTGTCGAAGATGGGCGCGATGCATTTTCCAGAGGGAATTTCATCGTGCTGAACTTCATCGTCCGACTCTTCAACTGGAGTTCTTTCCAAACGAAACTCGATCTCACTCAGTAGCCTCTGCTCAAAGCTCGACACCTTGTATTCCTACAAAACACATGAACTTATTACCTGAAATCATTCATGAATGTGTCACATTTATGTTTTCATATTAACTAAACTTTCATATTTACTACTTTTTCCAGGTTCTGTGGAAACATAGCCCACAGCTACCTAAATGTTAAAGTTTCCAGAACAGTCGCATAATTAAACAACCAAACTGATCATAGTAATGTCTAAAAATAACAACAAACAGAGATATGTGATATATGACAAGGCTAATCAGTGGTCAGGTTATTTTCAACAATCAGTGTGAACTTGTATATTTGCATGACACATTTTACAACATGTAAACCAATTACAATAAGAAGCGGGCTTTGTGGCGATAATAGGCCTATAACACTATAACATAACCTATATGAAGGTAATAGCGGCTCACAACTTCTCACAATTTGCAATTCTTGGAAAAAAGTCAGAATTGCAAGATTTAATCTTAGAATTCTAAAAAAAAAAAGTCAGAATTGCAAGATTTAATCTTAGAATTCTAATAAAAAAAAGTCAGAATTGCAAGATTTAAGCTCAGAATTCTGAGGAAAAAAGTAAAAATTGTAAGATTTAAACTCAGAATTATGAGAAAAGCCAGAATTGTGAGATTTAAACTCAGAATTGTGAGATAAAAGTCGAATTTTATGTTTGTTTTTTTTATCCAGTGGCAAAAACAAATAAGGCAGAATTGCTAGATGTAAACTCAGAATTCTGAGAAAAAAGTAAAAATTGTAAGATTAAACAAAGAATTCAGAGGGAAAAAGCCAGAATTGTGAGATTTAAACTCAGAATTGTGAAATAAAAGTCGAATTTAGTGTTTTTTTTTTAATCCCGTGGCAAAAACAAATAAAACAGAATTGTGAGATTTAAACTCAGAATTCTGAGAAAAAAGTAAAAATTGTAAGATTAAGCAAAGAATTCAGAGGGGAAAAGCCAGAATTGTGAGATTTAAACTCAGAATTCTGAGAAAAAAGTAAAAATTGTAAGATTAAACAAAGAATTCAGAGGGGAAAAGCCAGAATTGTGAGATTTAAACTCAGAATTGTGAAATAAAAGTCGAATTTAGTGTTTTTTTTTTTATCCCGTGGCAAAAACAAATAAAACAGAATTGTGAGATTTAAACTCAGAATTCTGAGAAAAAAGTAAAAATTGTAAGATTTAAACAAAGAATTCAGAGGGGAAAAGCCAGAATTGTGAGATTTAAACTCAGAACTGAATCACATTTAGCATTTTTTTAAACTTGTGGCAAAAACAAATAAAGCTAGATATTGCTAGAAGTAAACTCAGAATTTCTGAAGATTGTGAGATAAAATCGCAAATGTTTTTATTCTGTGGTGGAAACATATTTTCTGGGGGTTAGAGAAAGAATGAAAAATGGTCATATATAACTAAATTATGAATGTTTTTGGTGTCAAAATAAATAAATACACAAATAAAAACTAGGTTACTAAATAGCTATGATATGAACCCTTTAACACACCATCCTATTTTAAAAGTACCTATTATATCTCAATAGGCCTGTCGGGTAACAGCTCGCCTTCAGTTCTGGATGTCTGAATGCAGTCACCTCTATTTATATTACAGAAGAGCCCTGTTCATTCCTATCTCTGTCTAGTCTCTCAAGCCCAGCGCTCATGTTTACTCACAGATACTGTTTGCATTCAGATTTCATTCACATAGACACTGAACTGAACTGTGGTGGTCTAATGTAGTGCTCATGTCATTATTGTTTCTGTTTGAGATATCCATTGAACACTGATATTAATATTCTCATGTAGTTAGTATAGCATTAAATTAAACTCAAGTTGCTCATGCATAATCTTTTGTGATAGAATTTGAGTTAGAGTACTAGTTACAATTAACAAGGACGCAGCTATATTTTTAATATTTGTTAAATGATTCTGACTTCAGGATTTAATGTTAAAATGTGCAGATTTGAAAATAATTATGGCCTTAAACATTCATATATTAAATTTACATAACATAATGGTAACACTTTACAATATACGGTCCCATTGGTTAACATTAGTTAATGCAATAACTAACATTAAATAGGAAGACATTTGTTATAGTATTTATAAATCTAATCTAATATTCTAATATGTCATATCTAATTTATCTCTATACTAATCTAATTTATTATATATAAAATATTAAACGTTTCTTAATAAAAATACAACTGTTTATTTTTAGTTCACGTCAGCTCATAATATTAAGACATACATTAAATTAACTAAAATTATCAAAGTATTTTCCATTGTTAATGTTAACTGATATAGTTAACTAATGTAAACAGATGTAACCTTATTGTAAAGTGTTCATGAAATCCATGCAGTTTCATTAGTGGAAAAAAGCCGCAGCTTTATATTAGCTCAGGATCATCTTGTTTCTTGTTTTAATCAAAATCAATTCTTATATTATGAAACTAATGCACTTCAGAACAAAGCACTGCTTGCAATGGAGAAAAGTCCTTGTACCTCGTTATAGTTAATGACAGTTGCGGTGGGAATGTTTGGTCCGAGCGGGCGGCTCACGTCCCCCCCATAACTCTGTTTCTATGGAGGACAGGATGAATGACGATGATGTAAACACAAACACTAGTCACACATCAAGACACACGTGTGATAAATAGTGTTTTTATCATGTTATGTTGTCATGACAAGAAACACTTCAGCGTGTAAAAGGTGTTAATATGGTGCATCATGCGGACGCACATTTGACACATGAAATGTGTTAGAATGTGAAAACATTGAAACTGATTATTAAATGAGAAGATCGTCGTTAAAGGTGACATATCATGAAAATCGGACTTTTCCAGGTTTTAAGTGCTATAATCAGGTCCCCGGTGCATCTACCAAACAAGGAAACATGAAAAAGATTAACCATTTATTTCCCAGCTGTTTACCTTCACAGACATAACCCACTGTTTTATGTAACTCGTGTGTGTTTTTAACGTAAACTTGTGTGTGAATGAGAACTTGGTTTAGTACTCACATGCTGTGACAGCCGCTTTCTGTGCGTGTGCTTCGGATGTGTGCGCTCAGAAAACCATATATCAGAAGTTTAAACTCATATGGTTTAAAACGCATGATTTCAGTGCAATTTTGAAGATTAGCAATTTTATATAACTGAATTGTGTCTGTCAATCCTGCAAAAGCATGGCCTAGGCCTACTATTTGTACTATACACAACAAAACCCATCTTTGTAATATTTATGACACCACATACCTGCTGTCCAAAACGAAGCTGTTCATCTTTAAATCGCAATTTCTTCTCAATATCTTGTAACAGTGTTTCCTTGCTCTCGCGGATGTCATCATCAGACATGAGTCTGGAACCTCTTTGATTCTTCTTTAGTGCACCTTGAGGCCTGAACATGAAGTAACACAATGAGACTGAGGTAAGGCATTAAAATATGATACAAATACGTGTATATATATTTAAGAAAAGTCCAATTCTGCTGTAAAACAGCTCTAAAAAGACCATAGTGTCATTACATTAACTAGTCAGTTCAGTCTAGTCACAATGATTAACTATGATTAAGTGCTATCTTAGATTAGGCTTCAAATATCTGGAATATAGACCACTTTTATGGTACTTTGCATCCTTTCTGAAAACTGAGACCCCTAGTTCTCAACTCACATTCGTTGTATTGAAAAAAAAAACAGCCAGGATATTCCACAAAAATCCCTTTAAAGGGGTCATAGCATGAGAAATCAAATTTGCCTTGATCTTTTGGGATATAAGAGGTCTTTGTACCATTAAAACAACCTGCAAGTTTCATAGATCCTATGTCCTCCTCATTATAAACAAAGCATTTATTTAATCAAGCTCCAAAAACGGCTCGTTTTGGATCCGAGGGGCAAGGTGACATCACCTAGCCCCAGTCAATTGCATAAACACTGCCTCCAGAGCAAGACATTGACGAATAGTCATCTTCTCACCATAGGCCCCGCCCACTGGTGTTCAGACGCTTAACAGCTTAACGGACACTTGTCACGCTGAATGCGAGTGTCGCTTTGCGTCAAAAGCAAACAGAAATTACAATCACTGCCGCTGTCTTGTCTACACTGGATACAGTATACAGATGTGCATTCACTTTCTGACAGTGCACGCGCTCGAGTCGGTCATCAACAGGACAAATGGAGTGAAAGAATGTTCGCTTTGACGCGTTTGGTTTAATCAGCTCGTTCACGTCTTTGTACAGATATCAGAAGGATCCCAGCGTAAGGAACAAGTGGATAGTTTATTTTTAATGGTGTCCTGGATTGTGTCTGAGGATCGATCAGAGCATTTTGTTTTGTAAACGAGGCACAGTGTAATGGAGAGTTCACAAAGAAACATTTGTTGAAAGATGAAGCGGTGCTAGATCTGACTGCAGCTGCATCACAAACGTAAGTAAATGATTTCATAATGCTTTGTCTGGAAATGACTGTTTTCCCACATATTTATTAGTTGTTTTTTTTAGCAAAAAACTTTATTAACATAAGTAAACTCAAGAAACCTATTAAAAAAAAAAATCCATGTCATCATAACCCCTTTAAGAGAAAGTGTGACCTTTAAACCATTTTATGATATTACAATATTATAATGCAGAGGTCTTCAACCCTACTCCTGGGAACCCACTGTCCTGTACAGTTTATTTCCAACCTGCTTCAGCACACCTGCATGTGCATTTTCAAGCTACCCTAAAGAACTTGATTTCCTTCAGGTGTGGTTGATTAGGGTTGGAGCTAAACTCTGCAGGAGAGTGGATCCCAAGGAGCAGGGTTGAGAACCTCTGTTATAATGAAATGTTGTGTTTGTGTATGCTTACCCAGGTGGGGCCCTCTTCGGCAGGCCCATGGCATTGGTCGGAGGAGATATTGGAAGTGAAGGAAGGACTGAACTAAGGAAGGCCACTGGATTTTGGATGGGGCTAGGAGTGGAGTTGCTAGACGTTGGTGAAGAAGCTTGTGGGGGTGACTGAGTTCTAAAAGAAAACAGTGAATTCACCAGTCCAGGAGGCAGTAGAGGTGGTGAGGACACATATGGTGGGCTGCTTGGACACTCCAGAACTCTTGTTGGGAACTTTCTTGGGGACGGAGATAACTGGTTGACGGGCGACGTGAGCTCCCGTGTCGACTTCGGGAATATCTGTGCAGCTAATTCATGGAGCATTGGAACAGGAGACTCGGTTGGGGAAGGACTCCTGATAGGAGAGAGCATCTGGGCTGCGATGAACTCCTTCGGCCTTGTGTAGGTGAAGCTCTTGGTGGAGATCGGAATAATCCCGGGAAGTGGAGGCTGGGTGTCAATCAACGGAGGTGGAGACATTGGACTCGGGATGGGTGCAGGTTGATTTCTCACTTGATGTGGTGAGGTGATTTTACTCAGGGGTGGATACGACACACCTTGAGAATGTGTGTCTTGTGGAGCCATGCTGGGATGAGAACTTGTGGTGGTATTTAACTTTGGTCCAGTGTTGTTCACCACTGATGCATTAGGTGACATCAGTGCCTGTGTTCTGGCAACACTCGTGTCACTAACGGGAACAGAGTATATCTGCATGGTTGGATTCATGTTTATTTGTGAAATATGAGTGGAAGAAGTAACGGGTGGAACATTGGCCACATGTTTGGGGTTTGATTGGGTGGTTGGAGCCATGATAAGTTGAGGAAAACGTGCAGAAGGTCCCAAATTTATAGGCATAGGGATGTTGGGAGCTCCTCCTGGTTGAGTTATTGGGATTGTTGGGATCACACTTGGCATAGGGGTAACTGGAGCCACATTGGGTGAGATTGGCCCCAAATTCAGCTGAGGAGGAGTGGGCACCACATTCGGTTGGGTTAGTAGGTTAGTAGTAGGAACCAGATTTTGTTGAGGTATTGGAGGGTGGTTGTGTAAGGTTGTGGACACTCGTGTCACTAACGGGAACAGAGTATATCTGCATGGTTGGATTCATGTTTATTTGTGAAATATGAGTGGAAGAAGTAACGGGTGGAACATTGGCCACATGGTTGGGGTTTGATTGGGTGGTTGGAGCCATGATAAGTTGAGGAAAACGTGCAGAAGGTCCCAAATTTATAGGCATAGGGATGTTGGGAGCTCCTCCTGGTTGAGTTATTGGGATTGTTGGGATCACACTTGGCATAGGGGTAACTGGAGCCACATTGGGTGAAATTGGCCCCAAATTCAGCTGAGGAGGAGTGGGCACCACATTCGGTTGGGTTAGTAGGTTAGAGGGAACTATACCCGGTGGAACAGTACTTAAAGTAGTAGGAACCAGATTTTGTTGAGGTATTGGAGGGTGGTTGTGTAAGGTTGTGGCTGATGGAGTAAGTTGAGGCAAGGGCATGGAATTGGTTAAAGGCATGCTCAATTGGGATACAGGTACAGCTTTTAATATGGGAGCAGGTGTTGTAGGAAGTAGAGGGACAGATGCAGGGATCTGCAGTGGAATTGGAGCAGAGTTCATTACAAGAGGAGGTGGTTGGAGTTGGGATGGAACTGAATTTGCAGGAGGGTGAGTTGGCTTGACAGGCAGTGGCTCACAACTTGTCCTGTCTAAATGTGGTGAATCTTGGCTTGGGGAGGCATCTTCCTGCCGCTGTTCCAAAAGCACCTGGTTGTGGAGGATCTGAAGCTGCACTGGGTCTCTAAGATAAGACAAAAGAAGGGGAAAACAAGCATGTTTTCTACTTCAGATAGTCCTAAAACATAATTTTACTCTCAAGTTGTCTTGCAACACTCTAAAGTTGGTACTTACAATTTTGGTTTAGCCAACACTGGTGGTGGTTCTTTAGATGACATTCCTTTCTCCTCCTCGTCTTCATCTTCCAGGAGTTTAAAGGTTACACGGAGGCCAACTCGGGAACTAGAGCTGGATTCGTTGTGATTCCCTAATACACCCTCGGGTCTTGTCTTGAGGCAAGAAGTTGGGGGATCTGGTAGGGGTTTAACAGTTGGTCGCTCTTGATGGTTACTGCAGTTTACTGGTGGGAAACTAGTAACAGAAGGGCTGGGGGTTGGTTTTGAACCATTTGGTAATGGTTCTACCGAGGCATCAGAGCTCATAGTGATGCTGGAGGCTGATCCGTTTGGTGGACTTTGGGTCACTTGTGTGGAAGGCTTAAAACCTGACCCTCCTGAATCAAAGTGTGTTGTGCTAGAGCTGAGAGGCTTATGGTTTGAGTCTGAGTTCAGTGAAGAAGAACTGAAGCTGAGTGGGTCTAGCTGAGGTAAACTAGTCCTTAAAGTATCTGAGCTGTATTTTCCAATGCTGAGAGGGTTTAGACTAGGTAGGCTAGTGGTGAGATCATGGCGAAGGGTACGAGGATTTAGGGAATCTGAGCGAGGCGTTCCAGAGTCCTGAAGGTCTGAATGCTTAAATCCAGATCTCAAAGGGTCAAGGCAAATCATACTTGAGTGAAGCTTGTTGTTTACCAGAGGAACATCTGGTTTATGCTTTAAAGTTGTTGACATCAGTTCTGTTGCCGGAACCTTTTGGAGGGAGGATTCCACTGTTAAAGTGCTTGTTGTTTTAGGATTGGTGCTGTTATTATTGTGTCCTATCGATGCAGACAAAATATTGTTCAGAATTAGACTTGAGATGTGATATATGTATTCATTTTTATCTCATTATGAACTTAAGCAGTCTTAAGCTGATCCAATAATAGATTCCTCAACAATAAAACTAAATTACCTTTTACTCTCAATACTGCAGTACTGGAAACTGTGCCATATTTATTGTTGGCTATGCAAGTAAATGTTCCAGAATCCTCTGGAAAGACCTCCGCAATAACCAAAGTACATATCTCCTCTGATGTCCACACCAAACAGAGAAATGGTACAATGTTAGGTGGTTAGAGTCATGAAATAATTACCTTGGCAAAGCAAGGGTAATCAAATCCACCTACCAGATTCAGCCATAGATCTTGGTTCTGGGATGAAAAAAGCAGAATGTGTGAATTGTCAGATAACAATTTTAAGAAGAAAGTGTCAAGCACTGTAAACTTTTCTTTCAAGTTACAAGTTGAAACATTTTCAACAGTTTTCAAGGATGGATCCAACCACATATCTAAATGCACTGCGCACTAAAATTATACATACTCTTCTGAAGGATTCTGAAGTCTGGGGAATCTTCAATAAGTGTTCCCTCCCGGTACCAGTCCACTTTAGGGGAGGGAATGCCTTTTACTCTGCACTCGAGAACTACCAACTGACTCTCTACAGCCAGGACATCCTGGAGGTTCTACAGCAAAAGAGACAATCGTGTACAATGACAATGGAATGGAAAACCTGTAAAACTAGGTTTTAATTTTTCTGAAGATAATAACTATTGCCATGATGATTTTTGGATAGCTGCCAGGGCATTGCTACTCTATACACTGTCCAAAAAAAAAAAGCTTGTCACTTAGGCAATACCCGCAAAGGGACACACCTTTGTACCTTCTTTACCCCCAATGGGTGCATAATAGTACCCTAGAATAGTAATATGTACCCTTAAGGTAGTAATATGTACTTTTATGTTCCTAACATGCACCCTTTAGGTACAAAGGTGTCCCTTTGAGGGTACTGCCCCAGTGACAAACTGTTGTACCCCTAAAGGTAAAAAATATTTCTGAGAGTGAACAGTGCATTTTATGCATTTTAAAGGGTGTTCTGTGGGGTTGATAGTGCATTGCTAGTTGGTTTCTTACTGGCCCAAGTCAAACTGGGACACCACCAAGGCTTTATGATATTTCTAAACATGGCTTGCACTGGATTTGCCGGTTTTACAGCCTGCCAAGCAAAAATCGTAAGTCTGACTGCATACCAAGGTTTTGACTCACTGGATTTGGGACAGGCATGCATGCAAAAGTTTAAAACACGTGAAAATATTATAATACGTATATGTTTTTTTTTTTCCCCAAGCATTAATTTATACTTCATTGGCGCTCAATGTCAAGATTTAGAAATACAAGCTGTGTTTGCTCTACCTTCGTAAAAACAGGAGCTGCCATCATGGGCCTTACATCGAAGCTTTGAAGATAACTACTGCTGCCATTTAGAGTCTGAAAACAAAACATACGGAATGTAAGAAAAACACATGCATTAGTGGAAAAACAAAACTGCAGATTTGGTGTGTTTTTCATACCTCAGAAATGCTCTGTTGAGATGTTAACAGTACATCGGAGATACTTTGGCTGGATGGAGGTGATGGTGGGGCAATGGTCAGTGGAGGAATTGGTGGAGTGGGTTCCACCTCAGATATTGGCGTTGATGGTTCTACTACAGATATGGTTGGTTCTACTACAGATATGGTTGGTTCTAGGACAGGTATTTCAGAGCTGACAACCTTGGAACTCAGAAGTTCTGTATCTTCCTGCTTAGAGCTTGGGTCAGCAATCAGCTCAGTCAGTGGCACTGCTTCTGTGTCAGAAGGTGCTGGTGGTTCAGCGAAGGTGGTTGTTATAGTTGGTGTGGTGTCTTCAGCAGATGTGTTGGGTTCTGCCAAGACCACAGCAGGTTTGGACTGAGGAGATCTTTCATGAAGTCTGGAAATAAAGATGTGTGCATGTGATTTCAACCCCTAGGGGTTCAAAAGGTACTGCAGATACAGATTTCATAATGGAAAATATACAAACTCACTCTGCTTGAAAATGTTTTTCTTCGTCAGAATCTGACGAAGATGCTCCTAATAGAAAATGAAAATATACAAACTTCATTTCAGACTGCAGCTGCAATCATTTAGTCAATGTATATTTCATATTAAATAGTCCATAAGTCATTTACTTACCCTCAATGTAGATTTCTGCTGAGGTGGAGTCTGTGCCATAAAAGTTGGAGGCAAAGCACGAGTATCTGCCCGTGTCTTCTTCAAACGCCTCTGCTATGATCAGAGTGTGTCGCTCACCATTAGCGATGATCTGAATATCAGGACTGTTTTCCAACTCTTTACCCTCACAAAACCACCTGGAAAACACAATCAGAATGTTACATTCTGGACAGGAACACACATCTACAAGTACATCCACAATACAATAAATTCATGAATGAAAATGTAAAACATGCACACAAATAATGTCTGAACGCATCTGGTTTTAATTTGACCTCAGTTGAAAATCCAATGAATGTACATTCAGTTGTATACTGACATTAACAGACTAAAACAAACATCTAAATGTTTCAGCCCAGGTCATTTACAACACAAATACAATGCATATTTACTTAAATGCATATTTAATTCATCATTTTAAAATTTGAAGTGTGCTAGTGACACTAAATGAATACCTTTGAACACCATTTGCGGTCACAGAGTTCATTAATTCAAGCATTACAATACAGCGGTAAACCACATTTATTCAACAATATCATGACTTTTTTCAATTCATGTTTGATAGCCAAAATGTGCACCGTGTAAAACAAAAACCAAAAAGGTTAAATTGCAATATATCTCAAAATAGCTGAATATCATCTAGATTTTCAGTCTATCACAATATGCAAACAAATTAAATGTGTTGTTAAAATGCAGAATGTTTAGTATGATGAATAGCTTTTGGACATATTAAATGGTCAATCCAGCCTAATTAATGTCAAAAATACAGGTCACAAATCTTTCTAATAACAAAAATAAAGAATAGATTTCAATTTTTAGGGAAGACTCTCTTGAAAAACTAGTTGATTAGAAAAAGCTATTTACTTTCAAATTTTCAAATAAACAATTTTCATTGTATTTACTCTACTGACACGACGACTTTCTTTAGTCATTCAATGGCAAAAATCAGTTAACTGACTTACAGTTGTCAGACTTTTAGATATTAAGCTGTTGAGGTGAGGTTGAAGCAATTTACTAATAAAGTTATTTTTTGCATATATCACTTTGTGTTAAAGAAGGCATTCAAACCCATTTCAATGCATCTTACAAATCATCCAAAATCAGTCCTCCTTATCAAACACATCAGCAAAATAAGAACCACATCGCAACACAAGACAAACAGCATTCATTCAGTAATAAATCAATGGGCTAAAATCATATTCTTGAATCCACAAATATAACTTTACCACAACTTTACCTAGAAGACCGTACGACAGTTATTTCACTTTAACTGCTGTTTCCTAAAATTCCCTCGCTGAAATTTAAAGCGCTTCTGAAGAGACGAGTTGTGGTTCATTCCATGGGCGAGACATGGCTGAAATGTATTGGGTTTGATCCATGAGCCAGCGAGGATCATTTCTAATGAGTAAGACTCTACTTTGAAAGCCTGAGCTGCGGGGGAAAGACATCCAGTGCTAGATCTGCACCTGTTCAGGCTATTTTCCCTCTCGACTCACCCACAGCACAGGAACCCCTGTTAAAATTGGACGGCAGCATCCCTGACCGACATGCATGAGCTAAACATAGAATGGCCTCTCATATATTCACCAACACTGCTAATAGATCTGTCAGATATTTAGCAGGCATTTGCCTCTGACAGAGAAACACTTGACATTTGTAGTTACAACAACTATGTGGATTTTTTTTTTTACATCATTTACTTATTTAGAACTCAAAAATAAAGTTTTAAGATTTGGGAAAATCTACTACAAAGACAAGCTATTAAGTAAAATGCTTCTAGAAAGCATTGGCCATGTCATTTATGTACAGACGGTCAGATGAGCGTTCTCCAATGGTGCTGTCAGTAAAATGTTGAAAAGTGAAGTAAGTTTGGGTCACCGGAGGGATGATCTAATGTTTCTGACATCACAGTCTCTCGGTCAGCTGAGAACAGCTGTCCAAACACGCCACCGGTCACACAGACACGCTCAGAAAAGCACGGCTTTCCTTGACCTGTCAGTGTGGGAAGTTTGCATTGAGTAATGTTACACTAACCTTTCATCAATGATTTGACAAGATATCTTTATGCTGACAGAAAATGCATCAATTTATGTTTATTATGTAATAGGTTATTAAATGCAAAAATGTTAAATGCATGATCAGTTCATACAAAGTTATTCAATGCAAAAACGTTACATGCATGATCAGTTTATATGAAGTTTTTAAATGTTAATATGTTAAATGCAAGATCAATTTATACAAAGTTATTAATTGCAAAAACGTTAAATGCATGATCAATTTATACAAAGTTATTAATTGCAAAAACGTTAAAAGCAAGATCAATTTATACAAAGTTATTAATTGCAAAAATGTTAAGTGCATGATCAATTTATACAAAGTCATTAAATGCAAAAACATTAAGTGCATGATCAATTCATACAATGTTATTAAATGCAAAAACGTTAAATGTATGGTCAATTTATATGACGTTATTAAATGCAAAAATGTTAAATACAAAGCTATTAAATGTACAGAAATCAGTTCATACAAAGTTATTAAATACAACAAAAGTTAAATGCATTATAAATTCATACAAAGTTATTAAATGCAAAAAAGGATGATACATTTATATGTAGTTATTAAATGCAAACATGTTAAAAGCATGACCAATTTTTGCAAAGTTATTAAATGAAATAAAATAAAAATAAAAGCACACCCAATTTATATGAAGTAGTGATGAAATAGCTTCATAGTTCACTCAAACATAATTTATCCACTTTTAAATCATAACTGAAAAGGGAACATATAACGTGTTATTAAGTCTAATTCTAGCAGTTTTTCAGCACACTGGAGCACTAAAGCACGTATTTTATGAGAGATGTCCAGTTTATAGAGAAGCACAAGCTGATTATCCCGGCTGGAGCAGCACATTTCCACAATCTGAGTCACACGGCTCTTTAGGCTTTACAAGTTATGATAATCATCCTTTAAAGTTCATCTAGCCTCAAGCCAGGAGCTAATGTTAAACGATTGGTTAAACGGTTCTGCAATTAGCTTTTAGTAAACATAAACATTATCACCATTTCATGACAAACACACTCACTACAAAAGAGGAAACTCATTCAACACAGAGAACAGTGTTGTCATTGTTAACTAAAACTATTAAAAATCATTTTTGATCATTGAAATGGAGGAAATAAAATAAAATATAAATATTAGATGAAAAACATAAAATAAGAATAATTTGAACGAATAAAATGACTACCGCTACCCCTGCTATTAAATACTGTAGAAATATTAAAATAATAAAACTAAAATAAAAAAAGCTAATTCAAAATATGAATAAATACTATAATGGTATATAAACAATACTAAAATAACATTGTACCATCTTATATCACCAAAATATGATTTTTTTGTAAGGAAGTACATTCATTTGTGCGGTTTATTTCATGAATTAGGACAGAAAAGACATTCATTGTGCCCAAGTAAACACTGCTACAATAAACTATAATCATACCTGCACTAATTGTGCAATAATTTGCAAAGCTCTGTACACATTTAATATCTTGTTTACTCTTCTGCTCTTTGGCTAACTGTGCTCTACTGAAGACGTAGGACGATGATTTCGACTGCATTCTCATAGCATCATATTTCAGATGTAGCAGAATTAGAATGGCTGAGATCAGACTGCATGTTATACGGTCAGCTTTCACAAGACGTCTTTGTGCTCACAGGCAATGCTTGAAAAAGTAGATGTTTAGCATGCATTTGCTAGAAAAACGGTTGCCATGATGCTACGGTGTTACAGGTCCCTTGTGAAAAAGTACTACACTTTTTTTCTTATTGTACTTAGAAAAAAAACTACTTAAAAAGTATTTGTTATGGAAATAATAAGTACTTATTATGGCAATAATATAGTTTAAAAGAATATACTTAAGTGCAAAATGAATGTAATGTGTTTGGACGCTTTATTGCATGTTAATTGCAATTAAATGAAAACATATTCTACTTCAAATTTATATCAAATGCAATTATTTAAACTTAAGGGGATAGTTCACCCAAAAATCAAAAATGATTTACTCACCTTCATGTCGTTGCAAACCTTTTTTTCTCTCTATACTATATACGCCAACTGTTTCGTTACCAACATTCTTCAAAATATCTTCTTTTGTGTTCGAGATATCAATGAAATTCATACCGGTTTGAAGCAAATGATGACACAATTTTTCATTTTTGGGTGAACTATCGCCAAGAGAGCCACTTATAGTATATCTTTATATGCAATTTCATAATTACTTCTATTGTCTTTAAAATATGGTTACAGTGTACTTCCGAATACTGCCAAACATTTATGATCAACTAAAATGTGTGTTAATGTCATTTCTATTATACAAATTAGCACATTTAAAATGTATCAACTTTAAATATTAATTACAATTAGTTACAATTATAATCAAGTACCTTACATGTGCTTTAGTCAGTCAACACATCAAAACAAGTGCATTTTTTTAAAAGTACAACAAAAGATTATTAAAACTTACAGTGTACTTTAAAATAAAAATGATTATAGTACTTAATTCTGTTAAGAAACAGTCACGAAAGTGTCTCTCTTTTTAAGAATGCTTTTATTTCATTAATATTATATTATCTGCAAGAGCACATTCAATGCAATTAAATGCACAAGGGTGTTGTCAAGGCGTTGCTATTTACACAAATTATTTTTTAAAGTTGTAAATAAAACAAAGATTACTGGAATACATTTTACAAGAAAAAACCCTGTCATTCTTTCAAAATCTCATGTTTTAAAGGAGACATATTATGCCCCTTTTTACAGATTTTCATGATATGTCACCTTTAAATCAATGCATTACTTGCAATTGCTGAGTAATTATTTGTGATTTGCAATTTCTTAGTAAAAAAAATTGAGTAAAAGTTTTTCTGTGCGTGTGTATAGTTGCTAAAGACTATTTCATGCATTTACTAGTTGGCTGCTTTCTGCATGAGCAACAGTAATAATAATGCACTAATCATGTGCATCAATAAAAGCAGTTCAAACTCACCGAACTTCAGGAGCAGGCAGTCCTCTGACGATACAATCCAACTGGAATTTACTGCCCTCAGGAACCTCCCTGCTTTTGAGTTTCTGTATGAAGTGTGGAGGTTCACACACGGGTTCCTCCGAGCTCTCATTCTGAATCAGAGCCGGCTCCTGAGGCTCCTCCGTGACTCCACTCTTCTCCATCGGCTCCTCCATCTGCTGGTTGAGCAGAATAGGTCTTTCTCGATCTTCTGCATTAATGGAGTACGAAGTGCCATCAAGCTGGGTTTTGTTCTGGAATCGGCTCCGGTGGGTTTTGCAAGCACGAGGCCGAATTCGCTTGGAGCTGCCGGCTTTAAACAGAGACGAAAGCTCTTCTATGAAATCAGCTGCTTTGTTGAGGAACTCCTTCTTGGATTGGGTCTCCAAGCCATATGGAGCGTTTCTCTGAGGTCTTCTGAAATCCGCCGCAGGCTCCCTAGCACTTCTGACGTTCCTGATCGCATTATCTTGGATGGGAGTCTGGACTGTTTGTCTTTCTGAAATGACCTCTGTTTCTGGAGTGGGTTTGTTGGAAGGAAGATTATAGTGGCTCGTTGGTGGATGTGCGTCGGATCTCTCCTCACGTTCTCGAGGATCGCTGCTGAACGCTTTGCAGGCCAGATCCACGCTCTTGTCCAGTTCCTCCTGGCTCAGGAAGGCAGACAGGTCCGGGAACTGTGGCTCTGTGTCGTCCGCTTTCTCCTTGAGCGTCCCGTACACCAGGCGGCGAGGGCTGTCTATGCAGCTGGATTCGCCGTGTCTGTGATGAGCTAGGGCCTCGGCCAGGTAACTCTCACGCAGAAGCTGCGATAAAGACATGGGCTGATCCATGCTGTTCTCCTGCATGCTGCTGGAGACGAAAAGATTTAGAACACTGAGACAATAATCAAGGGACATTTTTGTGCTTAATGCTTATTAATGCTTTCTGCTAACCCACTGTAATGTCCAATTATCTAAAAGAGTAGAGTAGCATAGTATATGTTCTTATAATGTAGTATATCACCACATACTTGGTAATAAAGCTCTTCTGATTCTGATTCTGATTCTTATAATATGCATAAATCCCCCCCCTTAACAGGATACCATTTATTTTTAACTGGACTTTTAATAACAATTTTAAACAAGATTGCACTCACAAGAAGCAGTTTCCAGGCAATTTTAGAGCTGAACACAACTAGATAAACTCATAATCACTGTAATATTTCTGACATTTCCAGGTATATATATATATATATATATGAAAACTCATATAGGGAATAAAAGCAAATTTCATAAAAACTATAAACATTCAGTTACATTTCAAGCATTTTGTTTGTTCCACTACATACAGGATCTCTCTTAAACCATGAGATCAATCATTAGATATTTAGAGCCCTGTGAATATCAGAACACATTTGGAACAATGAAAATCTTTGTTGTTTTTGGTAACTAGATATGCATTTTTAATAATCATTTCTAACAAGACTGCACTCACAAAGAGCGACTAATAAAAATTGAGAGCTGAGCACAAATAGAAAAACTCACATTCACTATAAGATTTCATTCTTTCAGGCCTGGAAATAATAATTATCAATTTTTATGACAATAAAGTATAATAGTATAATTTTCCAAAAAAAAGTAGAATAGCTTTCGTCAAATTAGTCTTACGTTTCTGAATAAATATCATGCCTACTTGTAGAAATTATTTAAGCATGCATGGATACATAATTCATAATATGTCTACACTGATTTCATATTGATATTGAATTTATACTGCAATCAGAGATGAGATTGTTTTTATAATATGTCTTAACCTCAGGTTTTTTGTTTTATTTTTTAAAAAGATTTTTGTTCCACTACAAACAATATTCCTCTGAAAACATAAGATCAAATAGATATTTAGAGCCCTGTGAATATCAGAACACATTTGGAACAATGAATATCTTTTCCAGTTATTTTTGGTAACTAGATATGGATTTTTAATAATAATTTCTAACAAAGTTGCACTCACAAAGATCAACTAATAAAAATTGGGTGCTGAGCACTAGTAGAAAAATTCACATTCACAGATTCACTAAGTGATTTTATTCATTCAGGCCTGGAAATAATAATTATAAAAATTCCTGATATTTCAAAGTTTTCTATGGAAAAAAAAAAGGCAATAAAAGAAAGAAATTGGAAAGCATATGCCATTTTCATTAAATGTACAAAAATGCATTTACACTTTTGAAGTAAAATTTAAATCATAATAACATTGTTACATTAAATAAAATAAACATTAACTGAAATAAAATAAAATATTAAGAAAATGTATTTCAGCTAGTTGGCAAGGCAACATTTTTCATTTAAATTTCATTTAACTTCATATACTAAAATAACTAAAACTGAAATAAAACTATATATACATATAAAAAACTACCAAAAAAGACAAAAATACACAACAAAAACACTAAAACTTTCACTAAAATTAAATGAAAATGGAAAATATAAAAACTGATTCAAAATATGAATAAAAACTATAATAGCATTTCAATAATACTAAAATAACACTGGTACATTTTACAAGAAAATATGAACTACTAAAAAAAATTCACATTTACTGTAATTCATTGTTTCTTTGCAATTATTTGTGAAATTTACTAGCAATTTTAATTGAAATCCTACACCTATTTTTTTCAGTGCACATTTTAAGCATTTGATTTAGATAATTCAGAGCTTTTTGTGTCACAACAAACAGAATTCATATTTAGAGCCTAATATCAACACATTTGAATCCTCCTAGCAAAATCTGAGAAAGGCTTTGACCATTGGCCCGCTGTTGTTATTGAATCCAGAAAGAGGATACGCCTGCAGATGCTACTGACACTCAAATCAGAGCAATTAAGCCCAGCAGCGATGGCCTTCCAGCAGACCTGTGCAGACAGCTGTTGTGTGCATTAATCCTGTGCAAACACACTCCAGCCCCCCGTCACTGCTAATTATAGCACAGCTCACTTTACATGAGCAAAATACAACACTATAAATCATATGACTCATTACAAGAACTTTTGCAAAAGCAGAATGACCAGTAAACTATTCTATAAGAGTCAATGCATTATGATTTACTACCTCTGGAACTGTTATGACATGCCAAACTAAAATAGAAACTGACTCTGTCTGGACAAACATATACATATGGATGCAATTTTACTCCATAGTTAAGCATATTAAAAAGTGAGTGCCTTGCATGCATATAATAAAAGCATTAAGTGGGATAAATAAGTCATTAGACAACAAGGTGCTTTACCTGTGACTTGTGTGAATGTCCACAATGCCTAGATCTACTGCACCTGCTTAGAAACCACTTAACTCCAGCTTTCCAGAGCTGGCCTGAGCGCAGCTGCCACAGCTTTTTCCTAGTCTTGAGCAAAGTTAACCTTGGAGTTTACAGCAGCAAGGCAGTGACTGGCCGCCAGTAAAGCAGAAACATGTGTCAGAGTGTCGGTGGCAGGTTATTTGAGGGAGGTGGAGGGTTTGAAGCGTGTGCCAGGGAACGATCGCTCCTCATTGGCCGGTGAGAATGCTGTCAGGAGAAGGGTGACACCTTTGTGAAGCACCTACTACAGTCTGGAGGACACAGAAGCAGTGCATGATGGGTGTTAAAGGAATAGTTCACCCACAAATGAACATTTGCTGGAAATGTACTCACTCTTAGGCCGTCCAAGATTAGGATGAGTTTGTTTCTTCATCAGGTTTGTAGAAATGTAGCATTGCATCAGTGTCTCAGCAATGGATGCTCTGCAGTGAATGGGTGCCGTCAGAATGAGAGTCCAAACAGCTGATAAAAACATCACAATAATCCACAAGTAATCCACACCACTCCAGTCCATCAGTATATGACTTGAGAAGACAAAAGTTGTGTTTGTAATCACTGCAGAGCATCCATTGCTGAGACACTGATGCAACGCTACATTATTTTCATGACAATTGACTCTCAACATCTCATTATTATAGATATTATAGATATAGATATACAGCCATGGTCAGAATTGTTGGTACCCTTGGAAAATATGATCAAAGGCGGCTGTGAAAATAAATATGCATTGTTAATCCTTTTGATTTTTATTTTAAAAAATTCACAAAAATCTAACCTTTCATTGGAGAATAAGAATTTCAAATGGGGGGAAATATCATAATGAAATAAATGTTTTTCTCTAATACACATTGGACACAATTAATGGTGCCCTTTTATTCAATACTTTTTGAAACCTCCATTTGCCAAAAAATCAGCTCTGAGTTTTCTCCTATATTGCCTGAAGAGTTTAGAGAACATCTGACAAGAGATCAGAGACCATTCCTTCATCCAGATCTCTCCAGATCCTTCAGATTCACACGGTGCTTCACCACACTCATCTTCTACAGGGTTCAGCTCAGAGGACTGGGACGGCCAGGGCAGAAGCTTGGCGTTCTGCTCGCCATTTTGCTCATTTCATACACTGTACGTTTTGTAAAGAGGTTATAACGAAATTCTCATAAAAAATATTATTTATTTAACTTTGGTTTAACTGTCTTTAAGCCGAGTTCAACCAGAAAAACTCATATTCACCAGGTTTGGAAATGAAATATAAAATTTCCTAACATTTCCAAGTTTTCTATGAGGAACATGAATAACATATTCAAATTAATAACGTATCGTCCTGTTTTCTTTTGCATTGTGACATTATTACATGACAATTTTCTCTTCAGTCATCTTTATTGCAATGCAAAACATACACTGTAATGCTTTTAGATTTGAACTATAATACAAAACAATAGAAAATTACAAAAACAAGTGAGATCATATTCAATTTGCTAATAACTGTTTATTTTCAAGTGTTCTGCTCGCCATTTTGCTCATTTCATACACTGTACGTTTTGTAAAGAGGTTATAATGAAATTCTCATAAAAAATATTATTTAACTTTGGTTTAACTGTCTTTAAGCGGAGTTAAACAAAAATTACCCCTAATATGATCAATGTTTCGCTTCCCTTGCACTGTTTAATCATCTTTATTAAGACATAAACAATATTAGAATAACATTGTTAGATAATGCCTAAATATACTCTGAAATATGACAATATATGAATAAAATGTGCATTAATGATCTATTTAACATTATATAACTTAATACTGCTTGTTAATGACTCGCTGTAAGTTATTAACAATTTTAATGTCAGAGTCATGCGTTTATTCAAAAAAAAAATTTGCATCCTTTTTGTTTTATAATAAGCCATAAACAATATTATTATAACATTACTATATAATGCTTATATTATCTCACATACGTTCAAATATGAAAATTTATGAATGAAATGGCCATTAACTAATGATCTATTTAGCATTATATATATATAATATTGCTTTGTAATGACTTAATGAAAGTTATTACACACAATTCTTGTTTCAGTGTCATGAGTTTATTCCAGATAAATTATTAGCAGCCCTTTATATCACACCAGATGTCCTTTATCTGTGCTGTTTTTCACAAACTGTTGTGGTTCCAGATTCAATTTTTTGACAAAAAATCAACAGCTGTCATAAATGATTGACTTGCATTTTACATTTCACTTAAAACTGAAAAAAACGGCGAACAGCCAAAGGCACGTTATTATTAGGTAAAATGGTCATCACGCGTCAACTAAAACTGTTTAAAACTACAGTAGTGATCCTAAAATAAAAAAAATTCAATAATTGGGTAAGAATCTGGATTTTGAATACCTTCATTCATCACGTTACCATCTTTTCTGAAATCACAGCAAACCGGATGATTTCACTGAACGACAAAGCAAGGAAAAATGAGGAGAAAGGGAAAACAACAGCCCGCTTCAAAACATCAACCTGGAAATATGATGAATACTGTGAAGCTAATCCACAGCAAGAGAAAAGAGGCAATCCCACAAAGACCGTAGAGGTGATGCTCATGTTTGTGTAGTTGTGTAATGCTTTTGTGAACCCTCCAAATAACTGAGAATTCCCAAAGGACTGCATGAAGAGATGAAGCATCTCTGTATCAGATAAAGTCTGCTGTGAAGTGATTTTCAATGAATTACGAAGGCTTAAATTGCAGCAGCTTGTTGGCGAGTGTAATCGTAATCACGGGCGTGTCACCGAAGTCGTGTATAAATCCACTTCGCCGTCACGAGTCTTCGCTCGCTCGCTTCCGCGACTGATCGCCCCTGTGAAACAGCTGAAGTCAGTCGTGTGATTTAACATTATTTACAGATACAGCCTGAGGTTTGCAGACAGCGGTACCTGGAGAAGCCGTTCTGAGAAAGCTCCATCTGCAGTGTTTTATCTTGAGCCGCGTAATACGGGAGCTGAGATTCAAGAGCAGGAGCATCGATCTGAGGAATGAATCTAGAGAACAGAGCCGGAGCAAGAGGAACCCAGTCTACAAGAAAAACACACACATAAGATCTGAACTGACATCCTAACAGAATGCATCTTGACTTAAAATGCACTACTTAAACTTTAAAAAGAAATATGTTAGAAGTGGAAATTGTTGGCTTGACAACCATTTTAACTTGTTTCCAAACGGACTTGTGATTATTGTGCATTCAGAACAACTGAAACTGAAAAGCGATCTATCTATCTATCTATCTATCTGTGTCTGTGTCTGTCCGTCCGTCCGTCCGTCTATCTATCTATCTGTCTGTGTGTCTGTCTATCTATCTATCTGTGTGTGTCTGTCTGTCCATCTATCTATCTGTGTGTGTCTGTCTGTGTGTCTGTCTATCTATCTGTCTGTCTATC